TATAAAACCAAGAATCTTTGGATGCAAACAATCCTATCAATGAATTAAACGTAAACTTACAGTCAATATAAAGAAAAAAGAGAAGGCAAGAGTAAGAATTGGACGAGCATAGGATAAAGCAGCAAGACAGTGTGAGAAAAGAGGATACACCTAACATCTATAATATAAAAATGATATTCTTTTTAACATACAGTCGAGAAAATATTTGATTCATAGTCTTAAATAATAATTCGTGAACAAAAAAACCATACACTTGAAAAGAAAATGAACCATGAACACAGTTAAGGTACGGAAAAGATGAAGGCTTAAAGAGCAATGTGACAACCGTCATCACATTTCAACCCTATAATTTATAAATTAATAGAAGCTGGTGAGATTCTAAGATTCAACTTCACATTGTTAGTTCAAAATCAAAGCTTTAACTGATTTTAATATGGCATAAAATCCCCCAGCTAAAAACCATGCCTCCAACGGAGCAATCAAAACATTAAACAATATACACTTTAAAAGTAAATAAAAACAAATACGGGCAGAAGAAAGCAGAAACAACTTTGGGCATTAATCAAAACCCAGAAAATAAACTCAGCAACCATTTTGCGTATAAAAACAGAGCAAAATTTAACCACGGAAGTTGAATTACAAACGAATACCCAGATGGAAAATCATCAACTAATGATCCGAAATTAATTTTAATGAAAAAAAACAAAGAAGGGTTCAACAATGAACTACAAAATAAGAAATATGAAAAGAAAAACATACAGAATCAATAACATTGATAGCTTCATGAGCAGCTTGGCGTTCTCTACCACCATCACAAGTGATCAAGAAACCTTGGACTCCAGGCCTTAATGGGTATGCTCCTTTCTTTTTAACTGTTTTCTGTTTTCCATAAAAAATAAAGTTGAAGAAATACAAAAAAAAAAATGAAAACATTGTGGTGAAGATTAAAAGAAAGAGTTTGGGCTAACATTGTGGGGAAGATACTGCTTCCTCTTCTTGCCTTTGGCTGCCACAGTGTAGCCTTTTGTTTTGTTTTCGGCATCCATTGAAGCTTCTTTAAGTGCTTTCGTACTTCCGGCTCGAGGGTTTCGTTTACTTCTCAGTTCTGTTCGAACAAGATTTCCACTCTTAAAAGACCGGCTCGAGAGGAGTTCAAAACTCCGGTTTATATAAAAGAATTTTTTTGGATAAAAATATTATATTTGAAAAATAAAATTTTAAAATAATGATGTATTTATTTTGAAATTAAAAATTATTTTAAATAATCCTAAAAATAATTAGAATTTTTACAATTATAATATTAAGAAATAAATATATTAAAAATATATATTATATATTGTAAAATATAATATTAAATATATTTTTTATTAAATAAAATATATTTTTATTTTTGAGAAAATATAATATATATTTTTAGAAAAAAACAAAAGAGTAGATTGTTTTTTTACTCATGATAAAAAGTTTTTTTTTAGCAAAAACAAAAAATAAGTGGGTGGTTAATTAAGAATAGTGGTGTAGTTATTTTTTGGGTCAAGAAAAAAACCGTTGAATTGGGTGGACCGATATTATATATATATATATATATATATATATATATATATATATATATAATTTCAGTTATTTTTTTAAAAAATAAACGATAATGATGATTCTTTATATTTTTTCGCTCCGTTTGATTTTGATAATCAATTTTCAAAAAATTTAGTCACTTTTTTTTTTAGTTTGTGTTATTTTTATCATTGAATTGGGAACTTCCATTATCTTATTGACGTATATATTAGTAAAATTAATTAAATTTTAACTTATTTTTAAATTTTAATTTAAAAATAATAATTTAACTTTAAATTTTATAGAAAATACTAATTAATCTTAGAATTTATATAAAATATCAATTTTTTCCTTGAATCTAGTTAAAGTTCACGTCGTTGGTTGTCACTTATCTCTGTCGCAATCAATTTTCGTCGCCAGTCACTGTCAATCCATGTTGTTGTCGTCGTCTATTATCGTTACTAGTTACTGCCAACCCATCTCATAGTTGATCTTGAACCTCAAAATTTTTAATTTTTTCTCTTTTGACCTCTCGAACTTGAATCCAATGTCCGTTTCACCAAAAAAAAGAAGAAGTCAAAATTAAAAAAAATTAATTTCTTTTGCAAGCATGTTATCTTGAATATACAAGGGATAGTTACACTATTATTTCGAGTTATGATGAAGATTTTTCACCCTTAATCCGAATTTATTCCAAGCTCATTCTCTAAAAAATCCAACTCAACCTAAATTCAATTTTTTTTATATAAAAAAAATAACTTTATAAGATTATATTCGATCGAAACCCGTCGGAACCAAGACTTGAAACACATTATTTTTTTCCTACCAATATCTACTTTTTAGATTTTAGAATATTTATTACTCCTACCAATTATAGGAATTTGTTTTCCGAATTCTACACCGCCAGTAATAATGAAGAAAGTTAAAGTTTGTACATCAAATATTTAACCCCACTTATTATAGTATTTTGTTATCCTAATTCCTAACCCTACACCGTCTTTATTTCCTTATATATATATATATAGCTCTTGTTTTACCTTATATCATAGCATTGTTGAGGTTTAATTTGAGAACAGTTTCTTAGTAATCTCGAAATCATGTCCAAGAAATCCACATGCGATATTATGACCTCTCTTCCGGAAGAGATGCTGACAGAAATCGTCATGCACGCGGCGTCGAGTTCCGTCGACGACTTCATTAACGTCCGGTTAAGCTGTAAAGCTTTTCTCGCTGCGTCGAACTACGATCAGGTCTTCGAGAACGTTTCGATGGAGAAAGTTGGTTTCGTTCCGTGGCGAAGGAGCGAGAGGGTTTTCGAAAAACGATGCAGAGCTGCCAAGAACGCCGAAGCGTTATACAGGAAAGGGATGGTGGATTTCTTCAGTCGCAAGAAACCGGACTCAGGTCTCCATTGTTTGAAGAAGGCAACCGAGAAAGGTCATGTTGAAGCCATGTATGCGTACGGAATTATCCTGATTTGTTTAGGAGGTGAGCTGAGGGAACAAGGGCTTCGGGTTTTATCCTCTCTCGATCTCGAGAAGTCGAACAAAGGAGTTTCGAAGATGATCGTGAACTGTCGGTCGAAAACGAAGAAGATTTTGAGATGCATGTGGGTGTACGAAACATTGGCGGCACCCGAAGGAATAGATTGTGATTGTGATCGCGATCGCGATTCGAGTTCTTTGGAAGATGAAGCATGGGAAGCGAGCAACAACGTCGGCCATTGCTGTGATACTTTCTTTTGGGAACGTGAAGCAAATCTATTCAGTAATTTGCTTAGGAAATATTGAATTAATTAGTTTCCCGTAGTGATATTCATCTCTTAGACTCTTGTATTTCTGAGTCTGTTCATTGAAAACTTGCTGTTTCTCATCTGGGATTCCCTTCTTCTTCTTCTTCTTCTTCTTCGCAATTTTGATTTGTTTATAGAGCTATTATTGTATCTTCACTCTTGTGGTTGTAACAATGGACGAACTTCCACAACTAATACTACATATATGTAAAGCTTAAATTATGACAAAGAAGGAACACACTTGTTGCTCGCTGCAGTAGTGGCAATGGATGTTGATATATCTGTTTCGTCTTCAACAAAGTCAGCTCTGCAATATAAAACAGCTACGGACTGATTGCAGTTATCACATTCTTCTATGTATTTTGTTATTTCTATCATCACTCATCTTGTAGAATTGATGTGTAGTTTTTTCTCTTCCCGGAATTTTGAGATTTTGACAAGAACAAACACGTGATTTTATGTTAATAGGATGAATTGATAAAATTTCATAAGACGAAAACATATTTTTAGTAAAAATAACATTTAAATTATATGAAAATATGCCGTGATTTTGGTTATTATAGTAAGGGATAATGTTGTTTAGAAAACATTATATGTAACATTGGTACATGCACAGCTATGATACAGAAACAAAGAAACGAGGGATCAGGGATGGTCTTGTTGGTCTTTTCACTTATTGAAATTGATTGATTAAAGAACATATACTAATGTGTTAAGAATTTGAGTTTTCGGATTTATGAGATTTAAAACCATTTTTATACACATTTTTTAAATTTTTTTAATTACCAAGAGATTATCACTAATGCGTATCGTTGAAGGTTAAAAAAAAGTTAAAAATAGAATCAAACTAATACTATATATAAAATCTAAATATTAAATATATTATTTTATAAATTTAAGAAATAATCAAGATAAAAACACTGATAACTCATGAATATTTATTTTTTTAATCAATTTGACTTTTTTTTGTTCATTCTGTTATCAAAATATGATACGTTAAGAATTCATTATGTTGTTATCCTTTAAAGTCTTATGTTCGAGCAAGGTATGGATATTGTCAATAATTAAAAAAATTATGAATAAATATTATTTTATAATCATCTTTTAGATTATTAGAAAAAATATGAAGCGTTAAAATGACAAATAATAATAAAAATGGATACATTAAATTAACCCAAGAAATAATAAAACGATTAGTGAGAATCTTATTAAAATATTATAGATAAAATAGATATTAGACCCTTTTCTTCTTAATTCTTTTTAGTACGAACCAAGTGACATTCATTATAAAGGAATTATTTTTATTCCTTGGGACCCGAGTTCGAATACCATACATACCAGAAATATGAGCATTCAATTATCCTTGAACAGATGTTGCCTTGTACTTATCTCAGATTAATAAAAAAATTAATATTTATATTTCTAAAGTTGATGCATGAAAAGAAAACTAAAATATTATCTTAAACAGTTTATTTTTTCGCCTTACTAAAATAATAATATAATAAAATCTCATGATAAATTTATGTAATATCTGATTCGGATTAATAGTCGGATGCCAATAGTACAGCAAAAGAATATAATAATGCAATAAATAAATAATTTATAATTTATCCAACCTCATCATGCATATCAATGATTATATTTGAAGAAAAACAATGGAACTTATCATTGCTATCTATGCCTAATTACTTGTTCTTACCCTTAGTTCTCATCCCAAAATCATGTTTCTGCTCCACTTGCTTAAAACACCATTGATGTCAAATGTCTTCTTCTTCAACTTTTGGTTTGTTCTTGGGTCGTCCAGATCTTCTCACATCTTTACTTGACAAAAGTTTCAATGCTTTCTCCATGGTCACGTCTTTCGGCTTCATAGCCTACAATCATATCCAAGACCGTTACTTTTGGAGATCCGTTCCCGAATATTGATAGCAAGCGAATCATGAAACTGAAGAACAATTTTCTTCCATCGAATATCACTCGAGAATACAAACTTACCTTGGGAACAGGAGCAGTTGTGCGTCGATGGCGAACAGCGAATCCAATCTTTGCAAGCTTCAATATCACAGGGTGTCCATCCTTAGGGTGTTCTCCCTGCCAAGATGCATAAAAGATTTAAATTGGACAGTCAACCGGATAAAGAAAACATAACTCCCATTAAAGGTGTCTTAAGTACCAATGTCAACGGGTAACGTAGCAGATCGAGGGCATCTTCGAGGGTGATAGAATCCACCTTCTTTATCTGAATGAAAATAAAAAAGACGGCGATCTGTTCATAACCAGGTTGAAACATATCGAAGAGTTCTACAGGTGCTATCAAAAAAAAAAAAAATTGGCCACTCTTAGGCTAAACAAGATTATCTTTATCTTATCAGCAAAAAGGCGGTTAAAATTCTACTTCACTGGTGTTTCATTAACCGAGTGGTTCATAGCAACAACCAACAAGAGATGATTCCTTTCAGGAAACAAACACAATCAGAATTACAAAACAGTGCAAATGATAAAATAGATGTAAACATACATGAGAAACGGAGGCTCGCTTGGGTTGATAACCGGTCCTGTTTTCACCAAGCTGCACATAGTGTCCATAAGGGCCACTCTTTAAGAAAATCTGGGAGGGATGGAAGAGGAAACAATAAGTGTCTAGTTATAACAAATGGATACATAAAATTCCAATGAAATAAAGATTCAAAATCTTGTTCATTTATACTAAAAGAACAATATTAGACACTAACCTTCTCATTGGTCCCCGGATGAAGACCTAATAGTTTTGGCTCCTCGACATTGTTGTTCTTTTGAGGGCTCTCTTCGTCCTCCTCGTCACCATATAACGTCTTAGCAATATACCTGCATAAAAAAAATCAATGATTAAAAAAAACTCAAAAACCAAAAGAAGTTTGTGAATAGATTGTAGAAGATCCTAATCATAAACAGAAATATTACCAAAAGGCTCGTGATCATGCACTGCTATATGTAATGTGTGTATGTATCAAAATCCAGAAATTATTGTACTGCTCCATACTTACTTGCACTTTGGGTGTTGGTCACATCCTATAAAATAGCCTGCACCAAATCTGCTTACTTTGAATATTAAGGTGCCCTCCATGCAACTGAAAAAAGGTAGGAAAAGGATACCATAAGCTGTATTTGAAGAGGGAACGAATTAAAGTAACATATATATGCAAGTTAAGTAATTGCAAGTAATACTGTAACAAATGCATGCAAAAAATAAAACAAACAGAATGCAAACGAGCTCGACAAAATTCATGACCATCACATCCAACTTCCCTGTTTTCCTTTATTCATTAACCCTTTCTAAACAGCAATGCTCCCTTTCTTTAAACCCATTCCAAAAAACATTCAACTTTATATCTAAAAAGTTCAGTGGATCTAAATGTGATGGATTACCCAGTGAAATGGATATTGGAGCTGATAGAGACTCGATTGTAGTTCTTTTATTGTTACAAACGTGCATTTTTATTACTAAAGACATGTTTGGGTTTATGGGAGTTGCGGATAGAGAAATATCAATGGAAGCGCAAAAGACATAACAGCATGGCATACCTTGGACACGTCCTACTTTCATTAGGGAGAGAAGCAAACAAGAAATCTCCAAATGTCTTTTCCAACATCTTCTCCACCTGAATCAAAATTTGGAATGAAAATATAGTAAGATAAAAAAAATAAAAAAGAGAGAGAAAATTGTGACACTTGGGTCAGGGATGAGACTGAGTTGGGATACCTGATGAATGTGAACACTGGCAGCACGACTGCAATATGAGCTGAAACGTGCCCAGTAATCCCTAAGGAGCCCTTTCCATTCAGTTAATCCAGCAGAAACATTGTCAAGCTATAAATACAAGTGACAAGCGAAACATGTTAATAACACCACTTTAATGTAAAAGAAACCACATTCCGACTACTTCAAACCCGACAAACTGAAAAGACTTTAAGCTACAAGTACAACAATCGAGAGTCCTGCAACTTACTTCTGTCTCCATATCAGCTGTAAAACTGTAATCATTGACCTCAGAAAAATGGTGAGCGAGAAATGCTGAGACCTAGACATCATACCCAAACTATTAGAGAATAGTAGATTTGGAAGCGTGCTTAAAATCACTAATAATAGTTAATTAGTAATTGCAGCAAAAAGTTTGTTACTTGAAACATTAATCCCCTAATGCTATCTACATTACTAATGCATCAAACCTAATATCAATTGCTAAATGATGAATGGCTCAACCTAATGTAAGGCCACAATAAATCCAATACTTAAATAGATATTGACACATAGACGTCCTCACTAGGTCTGATACCAGGTTAAGCACCCAACTTAAATTCAATTAGAAATAGGTAGAATGCCCAACTTTAATACAAAACCACAAGAAACCCAATACTAAAGGATTAAGGTTAGCAACACTAAAGAAAATCTTGAACTTTTTAAGTTATTCTAAAGCATCAAGTACAATAAATCAAATAGAACAAAATGAGATAACATACCATGCGACCGCGAAATTCTGGGTATAATACACGATTTTTTACTGTCACGTAATTTCTATCCTGATGTAATAAAACGAGAAAGGTGATATTAGAATATATCTTGTCAATATAAAAGTTGATGGTAAATAAGATCAATAAAATGCAACAGTAGCAACTTATAATAATTTTTTTTTGATAAGACATATAATAAAATCAATGGCATCAAAATTTGAAAGAACAATAAAACTACATAGTAATTATTTCTTTTGGTCTTGAAATATTAGCGACAAGCTTGTCAGCAGTAAGAAAGCGTCACGGTGGACTACAATAAAAGGTGATAACTTAAAGCAGGTTTTCAAAGACATGCATTTTCTACTGAATTAGGCCATAGTGACAAGACAGATTAAAATGGTATAATATTTTATCTTTGGAGGCTTTCTTTAAACACTTGCCAGGTTGAGTTTGTTTGGGAAGTTTAGCACTTAGTTATGTTGTTCTCAGGGGATACAGCTTTACGTCTGGTGTGAATGTCGAATATTTTGGATGTGTTCTTTGAGGTGGTAATACTGAAATAGTTAAAGGGTGGAGTGTTCTTGGTGCATTAATCTCTTACTATGGATATTTTTTTCAAAAAAAAATCCCTGATGTCATATTCTAATAAAATCAATGATGTCTTCCAAACAAAATCCAATAAGCTCAAGACAGTCTAAGCAATTCAAAATAGTTCACATTCCAGGAAGTTTAAATGAGCACTTTTGTGTCATAGTACTTGTGAAACCGAGCAAATGCCCTGAAAAAAAAACTTACCAAGCATTCACATGAATGCATATTATTAATCCAGAGCTAAAATGAGCATTATTGAGAAACTTATTTCATTTAGATAACAAGAATGTATCTGGCACTTGAAACAAGCTTCATTCAATTTTCATCAAAAGTAAGGTGAACTTAAAAATTGATCATTTCAACATTATTACTAACCCGTAAAACTTTCAATGTTGAGGCATATGTCGAAGGTCTACCGATTCCAAGCTCCTCCAATTTCTTGACCTTCAAAATGCAGCGTTATGGAAGTAAGAAAGGACCATTGGATCAGAAGAAAGCCAGAATAATCAAATAACTGTCTCCCTCCCTAAAGCCATGTGGCATGCACTCAGCAAGAAGTGAATAGGATGATATTTGGATATTTTGCACTATCAAAACCAAAAAATCATATATGAACGAAAGAAAGAACAGATTTTGCAAAGCAATTTGAATGCTTCATCCAAAAGCTGAAAGCATATTAGAATATATTATATGATAGCATTTACACTTCATATTTCTGTGCAGTTGCTTAATCATGATGACATTGTAATTCACCGAGTAAGAGAAGTGCCAGCAAGCACTCCAGTCATGAAGTTGAGAAGATGTACCAACGATCCTTCAGAATAGCGTGCTGGTGGCTGAGTATGATGCTGCTTGGTTTCTACTTCACCAATATACAGCCGATCTCCCTTCTGCAAAACAAATTAGCCAGTAATGATGCAAACTAAAAAAGGGGGACATAAAAACTACACACACTTTCCAAATCATTAACTTCAACAGCTAATCTTTTATATGCTAGAAAGTCCAACTGCGAAAAATTTATATGATAGAAAGCCTATGAAGCATCATGGTGATCAAAATATTAAATATTCAAAAATAAATGATAAATCAAATGAAAAACGAGTACCTTCAATGAACTAAGAATGCCAAAAGTCTCGGAATAGCGGTTTACTTCGTTATCCTTAAATCCGAGTGTTTCAGATTCTTCATCCTATAAATTTAAAAGACCATGAAAAGTAGAAAACAAAAAAGGGGGTCTGTATTTTTTAGACATACTTGCAATCATGTTACATGTGTTATAAGTAAACCTTCGTGTTGCTTCCAATGTAGAACAAGTATTTTCAAATCAAATCACCAAAGAATGAACCCAAAATCTTGATCAAAATTGTGAAACTTCAATAATTAATACTCAAATGTTTAAAAATCAATGTAAACCCAGCACCTCAAGAAACTAAACTAACATGGGTACTTATAACTAAACAACCCCTAAGCCCTAAAACACAAAACACCAAATATAACACTAAATTACTTATTCTTGAAAATGAAATAGCACACTAATTACTGCAAAATAACCAAAATTTATGTACAAAACGCAATCAAACCTGTAAAACCAGTACAGTCCAAGATAATTTCATGTTCCTATCCCCATTAATTACCTTTTATTATAAACTTAAATTCATATAAATTGAAACTTCACTCAAAATAATGAAAATGTTCCATTTAAATTTAAAAATATTTAGTGACAATATAATGAAGAAAATTAAGAAATACCATAATGATATAGCATTTTGATTTGAATCACAACTACTTCAGTAACCAATTAAAACCATTAATTCAATCATAACTGATTTTATCATTAAAATTAAGAAACGCCAATAGATAATACATAAAATGTATAAGCAACAAAAATGTAGAAAACACTAATAAAAAAGTAGATAATTCAGAAATAAAACACCATGTGATGACATTTTATGTCCAAAGAAAAAATTAGCACCATCCACACTTCAACAATATAAATGCACATGTAGTAGACAGCATTGCAAAATAAAGAAGAAACAAGCATAAATAACCATTAGTAGACCACAATGCATTCAGATTTTCCATGTTGAACAAGGAGATCTACCACATTCATCCGCATTAAACACTGATATAAGCAGCAGAAATTGTATGCAGAACATACAGATATACAGGAAACACAGTATATTATACCTGATAAGCAGACTGATAGCCAAGGAACTCCACTTTTGAGCATGAAGATCGGAAAATGGTGGACTCATCACAATTCCCGACTTCAAGTTGTATCTGCTTTGAACAATGAATGCTAGGTGTTACATAGATGATGGTATAATGGTTCACAACTATGCAGATAATAACAAGACAAACTATCCATTTTGGCATTTATATAGAAGAAACAGAAAAACCACACGCAAATAAATGCAATTACTACAAAAAGAAAGAAGATTTTTTCCAGCGCAAGAAATCAGTGCAGCTTGTTCTGAATCACAATGGCTACAAAAATAAATAGTGAGTAATCAAGCCAGCTTATTCTGATTGAAGCTAATGAATCAAAGAACCATCGCATAAAAACAAACATTTGATGAGAATTTAGGTTTCAACCTGCTCTATGATTGCAGGTTCCATTTGACATGCCATAGTTCTTGACCAAATAAGAGTGTATAACTTCAATGAATCTTCATCAAGTGCTCCTGCAAGCATCGCTGGCATTAAGGACAATTCAGTTTTTCAACTGGCACCGAGATTTCACACCAAAAAAAAAAAAATCTGCAGAACAATTCAAAGTAAAAACATAACATATAAAAGAACAAACAAGTCTGCTCACTTACATGGTAACCTCCGAATATTGGTGGGTCTAATTGCTTCATGAGCCTCTTGAGCATTCTTGACCTTCTTATAATACTTACATGCATTTTCTGGGGTGAAACGTGGCCCATATCTGCATAAATTTATGTTTTTATTTATAGCCAGCAAGTTAGAAGATGAAAAACTTGCCAAATAATTGAACACTCACTTTAACTGCAACGCAGCCTATAGTAAATTGGTGTCTATCAAAGAAAAATGTAATACCTTATTTTACTGCACTAAAAATTTCAAAGGACAAAAAGGATAGTAGACTTTGATCATAACAATCAACAAGAAAACAGAGGTAAGAATGTAGGATACACAAATGTATAAGATTAAAGTTACATATGATAATATATCTATTGTTCACTTCAAGTAACATTATAGATATGCAACAATAACTGGCATGGAAAAAACTGTTAGAACAGGCACATTGACAAGATATCAACACCCAGGTAAAAGAAGATAATTTTTTTAGCTTAACAATTCATATACAAAAAAGTCACCTTTCTGTAACCAAGGAGCGAATGTCCTTAACAGCTTCATCAGAAATCTAACACAAGAATGAGAAAGGGAGAGAAAGAGTATTATAAATCCCAAAAGGTCACCCAGTATATCAGAACTAGGGCAGAAAATAAACATAGAGAGCTAGGAAAGATGCATGAGTAAAGAGAACATTATACACAAAATATCCATACAACTGAAACTCCGGTTATTACTATCAATTCGTGTTCTACCATGGTTGCACAGATTAAGTACCAGAATTATAATTTACATGACAAGAAGCATATTAACTAATTAACAGCGAGAGTGGGGTACTCTATTGAAAGAGATATGAAATGAAGATAAGGTATCATCATTACCAAGAGCTTGAAAGATATATGAACTAAAGATAAGGAATCATCCTTACCAAGAGCAAAAGTGTATGCCCCAAACAACCAATTAAATGCAACAATAGCACTTGAAGTAACCTAAAACATTTTCCATCTTTTCTGACCTTTTAGGGCAAGAAATCTGTAACTATAGTCTTCCCAAGAATCCAAAGTAAATTTACACCATTACTGCCAATTATTGCCAACAGGTATTACTTATGATTGTAACTCCTCTTCCTCAGCCTAGCTCAACCAATCTCTAATTTTCTATTATTTTAATTATTATTTATTAGAATAAAAGACACCTCGAAAACATTACATAGGAAGACACATGAAAACTTCTCGTGCAGGGCATATGCACACTACAAGACCTTTCACTTGGGGTTGGGGGGGGATGAAAGAAAACACATAACTAAGCAAGAAATAGAGAGACGAAAGATGTACCCACATGTAGCCCATCTGTTCTGCTGTATGTTATCAACCCAGTTGCCTCACCATCTGACAACTGAATCCCTTCATAAAGCTTCTGTGCTAGCTGCATTAATTAAGTATGAAAATAAAATGTTGAAAAGTCAACCAATTGATCGTATATTGAGGTGCTTGATGTCAAAGATATCAGCAAAGAGTGAAAAGGATACAAAAAACATAAATAATATTTAGCATGTAAAAGGGAAAGCAAATAAAGTAAGCCAACTTCTTGGAGTTCATCAATCAGCCATAGAGTTTAGCATATAAAAAGGAAATAAAGCACGACAACTTATAAGATTTCATCAATCAACCATAGAGCTTACCACAAAGTCCAAAGCAACAATGTAAAAAGTAAAACCAAACTGCAGTCAAAACAGAAAATCAACATTTAATGAACATATCATGGCTACGCAGACAGATTTTCAATAAAAGGAGGAATAACTGCAAAAAGATTCTGAAGTATAAAATTTGAGACTTTCAAATGGTTGAGACTATGAAACTAAGTTTAAATCGCACAGAGCAGATAATAAAGTTAAACTACTAAAATTCCATAGTTTTATAAAATTAAAAACAAAGCAACTTGCAAACCTTCATTGTATACGTTGCAGGAAAATTTAATCTGTTTGCAGCATCCTGCTGAAGTGTCGATGTTATATATGGGGCTGGAGGGTTTCTTCGAGTGGAGTTTCTTTTAGAGTTGATCACTTTAAAATTTTCTAAATTAACCTTCTGCTGTACATCTTTTGCCTCTGTCTCTGAAGTGATTGAGAATTGACCTAACTTCTTCGAATTAAAACGAGTCAAGCGTGCAGGGAAAGAAGCATCTTTTACTACAGTACTTGATTCTTCAAATTTCAACTGAACCTCAATAGTCCAATACTCGAGTGGCTTAAACTCGTCAATCTCTGTTTCTCTATCACAAATAAGAGACAAAGCAGCTGATTGCACTCGTCCAGCAGACTGGCAGCCTGGTAGTTTTCTCCATAATAGTGGTGAAATGTTAAACCCAATCAGATAATCAAGAGCGCGTCTGGCAAGATAAGCATGTACCAAGTTAACATCAATCTCTCGTGGCATTTGCAGAGCACTTTTGATGGATGCCTCAGTTATTTCATGAAAAACAACTCTTGCTACAGTGACATTTTCACCTAAAGCATCCTGCTGCTGCAACATCTCTAAGATGTGCCAAGCAATAGCCTCCCCTTCACGGTCTGGGTCAGATGCAAGAACAAGATTTTCTGCTCTGAGTGAAGAAAGAAAATGAGAAACTGAAAAATATATTAACAGAAACAACTGAAAGAATCAATAACAATCATCAATGATAACATTACAACATGTCTGTATCACTGAAATAATATCATAAGATTTCTCTTTACAACATTGATTTGAAGAATTCATTCAAAGGGATAGACAGAAATACAACAAATACCCTCTTTCAACAACATCAAACAATTAGATAGGTTAACTATATTGTGAAACTTAACATATGATCTCAAGAATTTATTGCAAGTGATATAGAGGAACATGAAAGTATTTTTGTTTAGTGCATGTGCAACATCTGTAAATTAGACCATAAGACTCTCTGACAAAAACACATGATAAGATTTTCACTAAAAATGTTACATACCCACACAGTGCAACCTTAATGCTCTTAAGATGCGTCCACGCAGCACTAGGGACCTCCCATACCATGCTAAAATCATCATCAGGTCGCACAGATCCTGAACGAGCAGCTAGGTCCCTAACATGACCATAGCTAGGCAAGACTTCAAACATATCACCAAGGTAGCCCTGAATAACCTTCGCCTTTGTAACAGATTCAACCACCATAACAGACTTCCCAGTGGGAGGATATAGTTGCTTCAGCGGCTTTTCTCGTTGGGATGACTTTTTCTGCACCTGTTTCTGAATTGGATCATTATCTTCTCCCATTGGCTGCCTTCTGTTTGGGCTTGTACTTTTCTTTTTGGACCGCTTTTTGGTTAAAGCAGAACCATCGTGAGTTTCAGTCAGTAAGTTGCCAGTTGAATTTCTCTGGAAAACTGCATTGTTAGCTAAACTTTTGCAAGATTTGAAACCATGCATAGAAACACATATTTAGATAGTGCAAATGCATGTCTGTTATTCTGAATGCTATATACACAACAAAGATACAAATATGCATGCATATTAAAAGACCCAGAAATCCAAATTCTTTGAGCTTTTTCGCTAATATTGAGGTTCCTACCAGAGAAGAATTTTTTGAGCTTTTCGCCACATGTGCTTCCTCTGAAACAACAGTGCTAGAAATTTGTTCCTTTTTGTTCTTGCTTCTTGACTGTTTTTTCTTCTTCGGACTAACTTTAGATTCTGGCTTAGAATTGGTAACCAAAGTAGAAGTAGAGTCTGGCCTAGCAGTGTTAACAAGTGAATTGGAAGTAGAGTCTGGCTTAGCATTGTCAAGAAGTGAAATTGAAGCAGGTGATCCAGAAGGCGCACCCTTGTTCCCATTGAGAGCAACTACTCCCTTTAGCTTCTTTGAATGCCTATTAAACCGTCTGAAGCTGAAGCCACTACTCTTTCCATCTCTGACACCCATAACATCATTCTTAGCTGCCACTGAAGGGGATTGAGAAAAAAACATTTTGGAAAGAGGCACAAAGGCTGAGGTTGATCTGATAACACTGGAAGTCATACAAGTAGAGATTACATTTCTATTCCAAGGTAGTGTATAATTTAAGTGGTTGGGTGGCAAAGCAAACATAAAGGAATTGTGAAGGGTTGAGAAAAAATTCAAAGCTTGACCACATTTCGGTTGACTCAGCATGAGGCCGGGAGGGGGTCTGAGTTTTCTAAATCTAGTGTGATATGGTACCGAAGACACAAGTTTAACGACCTTGAGCTGAAATTGAAACAACAATACACAATCAGTTAATAGTTCAGCAAAATGAAATTTTGGATGCATCATTTTAACTACTTACTAACATGTCGCCGCCTTATTCAATCAAACAGCTATGAATACATTACTGCTATTGTTGATAAATTGCGTAATATAGTAAAAACTAAGGCACACACAAGATATATGTAACGAAAAGGAAAGACACAATTATAAGTAATCTATTTTCGTCAAATAAAAGTAGAGTGATATATTCGTGAGAAAAAGAAGGTGAAAATGAACCTTGGGCATCAAAGACGGGTGAAGGCGCAGTCCTGCGCAGTTAGTAGTTGAAGGAGAAGACAACAAGCACCTCTGCATTTCCCTCTTAATCCTTCAAAATATTGGGTTCCAGATAGGAGGAGAAACAACGTGAAGGCTCAAAAGGGTTTAAAGATAGGGTTTTTAATATCCCAAAAACGAAACGGTGAGGGCTGGATGAACGAATGAAAGAGGGAGTTATTTATGAACCGTTGGACGAGTTCTATATGAAATAATTAATAGCGACCGTTGGATGAAAGAAGAAAGAAAACAAAGCGTAAACTATACCATTGACCACCTAACTATTGTTTCTTTACATTTTAACAACCTTTTTTAAAATTTTGTCAATCAAGTCACCTAATTATTTAAATGCATTCGATCAAGCCACTTACCGTTAACTTTAATAGAGATGATGATGTGACAATTAAAAATTTTAATATCATTATACATTTAGTATGTATTATTTATATGTCTATCGATTTAGTTCTAATTTTAATTTAATTTGAAAAATTAACACTCCAATCAAAAGGTGTCACGTGTAATAGATTATTGTGTCACGTGTAATCATCTCATTGAAGGGAGTTTTTAAATTAATCCTAACATTTTAATTAAAGAATTTTTACCAATCATGTGGTGACATGTATCACCACCTATTTAAAGGAAATAAATAAAATTAAATTTAACGATTGATAAAATCGGATCAAGGGCCATAAATAAATTTGGTATCGCCAGTCACTGGCAACCAATCCAACAGATAGGAAAGCCCCAGAACGTTCCAGAACACAGAAGGACATTGGATGGTCGATTAATGGCGCGTGAGGGCCACGTACCAAACAAACAATGAAAGCTTTCCAGATTTCATTCGAACGCAAATATGGCAGCCAACACAAAATCAACATAAAGGGAAATCCAAGCAAATTAATCATAAGGAATCAAATCTTGGGTTTAAGGAAAAAACCAAGGACAAATCCCACCAATTGTGGGATTAACCCCATAAAAAATGGGAGCAAAACTCCATTTCGAACCTATAAATATATATAAGAGAAACGAAAAATGGAAGTGAGTGGGAAATTCGAGAGAAACAACCATAAAAAACTCAAAAATAGGGAAAAGAAAATGGAGAGGAAGAATAACTTATTTTTTGCATCAGGAAGTCAGGAGCCTTGTTCGTGGGAGCTAATCATCACATGGAAGTCGAAAAGACTTCGTCAAAAATGATGAAGTGTTGGGATTTTCGGAAGCTCGAATCGACAACTGGAACGGTTTGTAAAGAGGGGTTGAAACATTTTTGTGTTTAGGGAGTAAGGAGATTGAAAGATAGAAAATTGCACAGCGATTTAGAGTGGTTTGACTTTCTAAACCAAAAGTCTACATCCACTACCTTAGCTCCTCACCAAGGATTTTCCAACAAATTCACTAATTTGTTCTTTCTTCTGAGGACAAAGAGATAACCTTACAACTCCCTAGTTTTTCCAGGCTAAACTATAACCTTTCCCTAGCTTTTACACGGGATAAGCTAGAACCTTTCCCCTTTACAAAAGGATAAAAGATGTAAACAAGAAAACCTCTCTAAGGTAGGTGTTTACAAGATTGAGCTCACAAGAACAAAATATTTACAAGAGAAAGATGAAATAAGAATGAAAAACTCTTCTCTTGTGTTTAATTGCTTGAATAGTTGTTCTCTTTTTTCTTCAAGCGTCGTTAGCTTGTATTTATAGCTTAAAATGTGTTTGATGTTGTATATAGTCGTTGGGGATGTTTTGGAGTTGTTTGGGGATGATATTTCTACTAAAAAGGCTGCCTATAACATGGTGCATCGATGCACTATCATGGTGCATCGATATCCCTTCATTAAATTCAAATAAACTAGCCGTTGCAGCCTTCGTGCATGGATGCACAGCAGGATGCATCGATGCACAACCTTGATGCATCGATGCACAAAAGATTGCATCGATGCACAAAAGGAAGCATCGATGCACTAATTGCATTCGGTGTTTGAGTGCATGGATGCACTGCATGGTGCATCAATGCACTAGTGCAGGTGCATGGATGCACTGCAGGGATGCATGGATGCACTGCAGGGGTGCATGGATGCACTTTGACACCCTTTAGCATTTTGGCTCAAATCCGAATTTAATGGACTTTGAATTATTTTTGAAACCTTTTAAAACTTTAAATAAATTCAATTAAGTCCAAAAACATTTTGTAAATTCAATTCAAGTCAAAAAACCATTTTGCCTTAAATTGTTATATCAAAACATAGTTCAACAATCTCCCCCTTTTTGATATAACAAAACATTTGAAAAATTGTTTTTGGCAAAACTCCCCCTTAATAAATTGTTTAATGAAAAAGATATCAATTGTTAACAATTGTTGGAAAATATATGAAAATGTTAAGCTCCCCTTTTTCATTTAGAAATTGAATTTTTCAAACCAAACTTCTCCCCCTTTTTGTTATATAAAAAATAATTCGATCTTTGAAGTTCAAAATAACTTTGGAGAGTAAGTGGTAAATTTGACATTTAAAAATCATTTGAAAAATCAAAGCTCCCCCTCAATAAATGCATTCCAATCAAAATTTAGCTTTAAGAACTTGACACTTAAAAAGAAATTGAAATTCTACAAAGAATAACAAATATGTTAGTAGCACATGAAATTCAATATATCCAATACTAAAATACTTTATGCAATACCAATTGTTGAAATTTGATATCAATACCATTTGTTAAAATTAAGTGCATAAGCATAAAGTTTTCCAAAAATGTTATGCATTTTGAAAATTTTGATATCAATTGTTAGAGAGATATCATTTTCATTTAAACCACATGCATAAACATTCAAATTTAGGTCAAAAATTTAAAATTTGTAAAATCAAATTTTTTTTTAAAAAAATTGATATCAATTATTAGAGAGATATCATTTGCATTAAAACCCATTTTGACCAAAATTTCATTATGATGAACTAAGAATTATGTGAAATCATTAAAACTTTAAAATTATTCATCATAAACACCTTTTCAACATACATGAGATTAAAACAATAATGCATAATCATTTAAAACCAAAACTCATGCATGCTTAAAATCAAATGAGCAACCAAATAACCAAATTAAAAACATTAAGCTTAGAGGTTATCCATTCCTTTTTCATGTGTGGCTAGAGCATCTTGAATATCATCACTTTCATCACCATTGCTCCCACACACCTACAAGAGACATTTATTTTGATTTTGGTATCCAAATTGCTTTGGATCCTTGGACGTTAGGTTCAATGCCCCTTATTCCTTTAGGAACCCATACTTGTCTAATTTTAAAATGTTTTCCTTTCTTTAAAGGACAAGTATGTTCCAAATGACCATAAAAACGACAATGAGAGCATTTTTGCCATTTTTAAACATAATATATTATTTTTAGAAATTAATTCTTTTTCTTTTGTTAAGCCTTCAAGCTTAACTCCTAACTCTAAATTTTCTTTTTCTAAATCATTTATTTTGATTTTTGAAAGCTCTAAATTACTTTTCAAATTTTCATTTTGACTTTCAAAATCAACTTTTTCTTTCAAAATCAAATTATCTTTAATTTTGAGTTTTGAAATTAATTTCGTATATTTGGAATTCATGGTCTCAAATCCCAAATACAACCTATTATAAGCATCTTGTAATTCATCAAAAGTAAATGAATTAAATTCATTTGAGTTAGAAGATACATCGAATTCTTCTTGAGTGGTCATGAGGCATATGTTAACTACTTCATCTTCATCACTCCAAGATGCAACAAATGCCTTCTTCCCCTTTTTCTTTAGAAGAGGACATTCATACTTGACATGCCCCTTTCTTTGACAATTGAAACATATCGGAGGACTCTTCTTATTGGTTGATTCATGTTTCACTTCCTTGGAAATCATGAATCTCTTGAGTTCCTTCAAGAGCTTGACCATCTCTTCTTTTTGTTCATCATCGTCTTCATCCACCTCATCACTTGAATCTTGATAGCTTTCATTGGTGGATTTGAAGGCAATGTCTACCTCCTTCTTCTTCTTGTTTTTCTTCTCTTCCCTTTCTTCATCTTCCTTCACCATCATCTCATGAGTGAGAAGGGAACCAATTAGCTCATCAAGAGTGAGAGACTTTAAGCTTCTTGCTTCGACAATGGTCGTCTTCTTCGATTGCCACTCCTTTGGAAGAGAGTAGATCATCTTTCTCACAAGCTTCTCATTAGGGATTACTTCTCCATATCCCTTGAGACCGTTGACAATCACAGAAAATCTATCCGTCATAGCTTTGATGTCTTCATCGGGTTTCATCTTGAAGTTCTCGTAGCTATGGTTGAGAAGACTTTTCTTTGATTCCCTCACTTCGTCGGTTCCTTAATGAGTGACTTGGAGCTTATCCCAAATCACTTTGGCACTGGAACAAGATGAGATTCTTCCATATTCATTTGGGCCTAAAGCACATAATAAAATATGTATAGCCTTAGAGTTAAGCTGGAAATTTTTCTGCTTTTCTCTACTCCAATCGTTGTACTTGCCGGGTGGAGAAGAGTAACCGTCCATGATTGAGTTCCAAGATCCTAGATTGTAGGATTGAATAAATTACATTATCTTATTCTTCCAATGTGCATAATTTACTCCATTGAAGAAGGGTGGCTTGTTGACCGGTTGTGAATCCATAATGGGATATTCTTCAAGATAATAAGCACCGGAGGAAAAAGTCATTTCTTTGTCAGTTGCGTCAGAAATTGGTAGAGCTTCTTCGAGGATCGTCTCAAGGTGGTTAAACCTTCTTAACGAGTTAGACTCTGATGCCAATTGTTGGGATTTTCAGAATCTCGAATCGACAACCGGAACGGTTTGCAAAGAGGGGTCGGAACGATTTTGTGTTTAGGGAGTAAGAAGATTGAAAGATAGAAAATTACACAGCGATTTAGAGTGGTTCGACTTTCTCAACCAAAGTCTACATCCACTACCTTAGCTCCTCACTAAGGATTTTCCAAAAAATTCACTAATTTGTTCTTTCTTTTGAGGACAAAGAGATAACCTTAAAACTCTCTAGTTTTTCCGGGCTAAACTAGAACCTTTCCCTAGCTTTTACACGGGATAAGCTAGAATAT